TTTTTAAAAAGTGCGTAAACCACACTTGGCGTTATTGTCGCTTATAACAAATATGCCAAATTTCAAAATGCGCCAATATGTAAATTCACCTATATCTTAGGAAATTTTGAATAAAAAACTCTAATATTTTTCAGGTATGCTTAGAAATACATTTATCTTAAGATGATGGTAAAACTTTTATAGGTTATTATTCAAAATTTTTTCCAAAAATTTATAAAAAAATTTTTAAAGATACAAATTTTAAAAATAAATTAAAAAAATGAGCGAATATTATTTTTGGAATGAAAATAAATTTTGAAATGTGAAAGGAAGAATCAAATAAGTTTAATAAAAAAAAGAGAGATTGATAAATATATACCAAATTCAATTAACATGGAGGAATTCAAATTTTGAGAGCTAATGTTTTAAAAACTATTCGTGCGATTTTTACAAAACTTGGTAGTCTGGAGTAATTTGAGTCGTAGAATTGAAATATGAAAAAAACATTGGCATGTTATTTCAGGAAAAGTTCAATTTTGTGTCAAAATACCTATGTTTGAATAATGCTCTATATAAATCTAATATATACCTTAAGTCGCGCTTTCGAGACATTGAGAACGCAAGTTTAATTTCGACAATTCCAGTAAAACGGGAGATACCCAAAAAGTATCTTTTTTTTTTTTTTTTTTTTTTTTTTTTTTTTTTTCCCTTACGGTGTGCGTATTGAAAGTGGTAGTAGACTGCTAGGGTTTGAGAACCTGAACACTGGTAGTTCGATCCGAGGTTCGAATCCCGCGAACGGGCTGGCTGCATGGGTGTTTTCGTGGTTTTCCCCATGTGTAACGTGTATACGAGCCAGTTTCTCTTAAAAAGTCCTCCACGAACGCATCCCTCCCTTAAGGCAGATAACCCTCGAGTGCTTTGCCGTAATCTAAAAAACCAAACCAAACCAGGTTGACTATCCCTGCTATATACACTTCGCAGATATAGCTCCTTGTTTGATATTCCAGATGGTAAATACCAATGAGAATTCAAGTAAGGGATACATGGCGTCTTCTTTCATTTGTTATGGAGGTAATGGAGTTTTATAACTGGCGTTTTATTCAAGCTGCTAATTAAAAACGGTAACTTAATTACTTGGAGAGAATTCTTGGATAAATTTCGGCTATCGCGGAGTTGCCCAAATTTGTTACTTTTCTAATAAGTCTTAACATCAACTTGAGACAGTTTTCTTCATAAATTCCTTTACTTTTACTTAGGTAGTCTTCGCATTATCCAGCGAAGGTTTTATGCTTTTCCGAAAGGTAATTGGCAGATTAACCAGCCGCACCCTCACAAATGCCAGTCCACGCAACTTTACCTTTAAATAGCCATGTAATACTAGATAACGAGTTCAGTACAAAACTGATTATAAGATTTTCCCTTTTCTGCAGTTTTGCCCAGTTCTTTATGTATTCTAACGATGCCTCAATCTCTGTTTAGCTCAGTACAAGGTAGATACAGGGAAAGCTAAGTAACATTAGCGTGATATGTGATGAAATTTTAAATGTCTAAAATTATTCAAGAGTGTATGCGTGTACATTTATTTCATATATGTCTTATATTCTTTTTATTTCATATCAGAACTTTTGGGGTAACATTCCCTGTCATTTGGCAAATAGGCTAGCAAGTGGCCGAATTTTCATACAACTTCATATACTATATTCAAAGGTATTCATAAGTATTAACACATGATCACCTTAAAAATATTCATTCATATTTTGCCAGTAAATAAACTGCAAGATATGTTTCTGAAGATACAGTGGCTCCCAAAAGTGTTCGTACACTTATGATTTTCACTGAAATAGGACTCTATCCATTAATTATAAGTAAACTTTCTGAATGAGATTTTAATAAGATCTATAATCTATTCGTAACAAAATTACATGAAATATTTTTGAAATATACCAAAACTTCATTTTCAAGAAATTAATAATAAAAAAATGACAAATATTTTATTCACAAAAGTCTTCGTACACTTCAAAAAATTCTTGACATATTAGTAAATATTTTCATTTTTTCGTTAAATTAATATTTAGTAGGATATCCTTTAGCATCCACAACAGATTTTAAACGTCTGGGAATAGATTTTACTAGTATTTTTTGTAATTTCTGCATCAATGTTCATTATAACTTCCATCATGACTGTTTTGAGTTTGCGTTTCGTTTTGATGCCGTGTTTTCGTACTCTAACCTCTAGTTCTTTCCAAATGGGTTTAAATCTGGCAACTGAGGTGGTGTTTTCAAAACCTGTGGACAATTATAGAGACACCACAGACGAACGTTGAGAGCCGTATGCTTAGGATCTTTATCATGATTAAAAATAAAGTTGTTTTCAACACCCAAATTTTGGGCTAATAATTTTAAATAAAGAGAATGATTCATTATGCCATCACTGAATACCCAATTACCTAGTCCTGATGCTGCCATGCACCCCCACACAAGAACACCTCCACCGCTATGCTTAACTGTTCCACCTAAATTTTTAGACTGAAGTTCCTCATATTTTCTTCTCCATACAGTTATTCGACCATCGGAACCAAAAATGTTAAATTTGCTTTCATCAGCAAATAGGACATTATTCCAGTACGTTTCGGGTGTACTTATCATTGATTTTGCGAATGAAAGCCTAAGCTTTCTGTTTTTCTCACTAACAAAAAAGTTTTACGGGCAGAACGCCCATGTTATCCAGCTCCTCTGAGAACTAGTCGAACAGTTTAAGGCGAAATTGAAATAGAAAATTTTGCATTAAACTCTGCAGAAACTTTTACAGCACTCAAATGTGGGTTTTTCACAAATTTTCTAATAATAAATGTCTCATCACGTTTAGTTAACTTTCTCGGTCGACCTTTTCTTACCTTCTTTTCAATCCGATTTTCTTCTTTAAAGCGTTTTATCACATACTGCAGTGTAGAATGGGATAAATTAATTAATTTAGCGATATTTCGAATTGATTTACCCCTACTATGGTGAAAATTTATCAATTTTCGAATGCTGTTTGTAATTTCTTTACGACTGCGACTCATTTTTCAATAATAAATAGAATATTATGAAGTAAACAGTAAAAAATTAAAGCAAACGATTTTTTAAATGCCACCACAATGCAAAAATTAAAAAAAAGCGACAAACGATAATTCTAATTTTGATTTTATCCGAAAATATTTCAGTGTACGAAGACTTTTGTGAGATAAAATGTTTGTCATTTTTTTATTATTAATTTCTTAGAAATAAAGTTTCGCTATATTTAAAAAATATTTCATGTAATTTTGTTGCGAATAGATTATAGATCTTATTATTTAAATCTGATTCAGAAAGTTTACTTTTAATTAATGGATAGAGCCCTATTTCAGTGAAAATCATAAGTGTACGAACACTTTTGGGAGCCAATGTACGTGTGCATTCAAAGATGTAAACACGAGCTACTTTCTCTTACGAAGTATCTGATTAAAAATGAAGTCAACAATGAAAAATATATTTCTATTAAGATTATTGACATTATTGACTTGCCACAACTAAAACCACAGAGGTTGTTCGCACATTTTTTAGAAGATTTTTATTTGCAATAAAAAAAAATCTTCCGCATGAAAAATTTTTTCACTGCAGCTATATTTTTTAAGCTATAAATTATCGTCTTCTACTTCACAGTTTTATTTTCATGCAAAATGGAGCTTTTAAAGAAGCAAAGGCTACGTTTGTACTTTTTCCGAAGAAAATTATTCGTATCTAATTACTAAACAATTTTTGTAAAAACCATGGTTTTTCGATATTTAAAGCTACGATAGGTAATATTGTCAACAAGAAACGAAAATAAATTTCCAGAGTATGACTTCAAGTGAAAACATTATTCCAAATACATATCCAAATAAAAAAGGAAATGTTTTGAAAGTTTCAAAAGTAATATCTTTAATATTAATGGGAAATCCGCCAAGAACAGTTGTAAAATTTTTAAAATGCTCAGTGTCAACTGTAAACGAAGTGATTATTGCTGATTTGAATCTTAAAAAGGTGAAAAAGTTACGTGACTCCGTGACATATCTCCGAATGCAGAATTCGCTGCAGAATTCTTTATGAGAAACATTTAAAGGACGAAAATGGAAAAATATTGTCAAAATAGTAGATTAATCTTGATGTATTTAAATGACTGCAATAAAAGGAGATCTGTTTATTGTCATTAAAGAAGAGAAAAAAATCTTAAAATATGGTTCATAGTATCTAAAGACACTACAAAGGGATTTATAATTGTTGCTGGCTTTCCATACACCGGCAAATTAAAAATAACGAGATTAGAGAAAAATGTTAAGATCAACTTTCACATATTATCAAGAAAATGTTTTATATGCAATTTTCAAATATGAAACACATTCTCTTTACTCACAGTGCCATCAGTCAGTAGAACTGCAACACAAAGCAAGCAGCCACACATCAAAATCCGTTGTTAATTTCCTGGAAAACAATGGAACAAGAAACGAATATCAAGGCCATACTCTTCACTCATATCCCTGTTAAATCTCTTAATAGATTTTTACTTGATGGATCGCCTGTTGGAATCCATGGATTTTTGTGCTTTTGGACTTTTAAAAAGTGGTTTGTCCAAACGTCGACTTGCAACCCTCCTTGCAATTTGGAAAGCTGTTCAAGAGGAATGGGATCAAATACTTCTTCCGATTCTTCAAAAGGCTTTGTTGTCTCGGAAATTATGGTATAGAAGGATAGGGGAAAATAAGAGTTATCAATTAGAACATTTAATACTCAAACATTTTAAGTACAATATTTCTGTAAGTACAACGAATACCCTCTAAAAATATGCAAACAGCCTCTGTGTACATCAAATAAAAATTCGGCCATATTTCAAACTACTAACTAAATGATGTAATGTATTAATCCAGACGATCTGGCTTCTTATATTGATTACTAGTAAATAAATTCTACGAGATTTTTTTTTTTTTTTTTTTTTTTTTTTTTTTTTTTTTTTTTGTATGCAGGTAACGTGCCCCCGGGATTTAATCCATTTGCTTTTGTTCCTGGATACGTATATGGTCCTCAACAGACAGATGAAGACAGCGGTATATAATGAATAAATAAATCCTCCATAACTGTTTTAAACTACAAAACAAAAAGTCCTGTAACTTTATTTTTTCGTTCGCAGGTTACCCTCAGACAGGATTTAATCCATTTGCTTTCGTACCTGGATTCGTATTTGGTCCGCAACAACAAGACCAACCTTACGGTATATATATTAAAGATAATTCGAAACCATTTATGTATCGATACATATTTTTAATTCGTAATTTTACGAGATGTCCCCAGTAGTATAATGAATAAATAAATCCTAGATGACTGTTTTAAACTACAAAACAAAAAGTCCTATAACTTTATTTTTTCGTTCGCAGGTTACCCTCAGACAGGATTTAATCCATTTGCTTTCGCACCTGGATTTGTATTTCGTCCACAACAACAAGACCAACCTTACGGTATATACATTAAAGATAATTCGAAACCATTTATGTATCGATACATATTTTTTAATTCGTAATTTTACGAGATGTCCCCCGTCGTTTTCGAGACAAACACATCATTAAATTTTCTGCCCACAGGTGATGAACCTCCGAGAGCAAATCCAAATCCATTTGGAGGAGCATTTGCAGGAGGGTTCGCCGTTGCTGGACCAGGAGTTGCAGTTGGAGCGGGTACATAACAAATCAGTAGATCATATCGCATGCTGTACTGAAAAATATAATGTAGCTAGAAGTTTTGTACATTAGAATTTTAGATATCTATATATGCATTTATTCTTTACTTTCTTTACTTCCAGGTAATGTACCACCACAAGGATTTCCAGGATTATTTGATCCCTTCGCATTCGTATTCGGACGATAAAGATATTCCAAAAAAGTAATATATTTCACATCTTATCTTTCCAAAGTGTTATAGATTATTATAGTAAAACGTTTTCATTAGCAAGTCTTAGATTTGATTAATCTGAGAATCTTCCTTAATAAGCTCATTATAATGTGAATTTTACTACTGTGTATTTACAGTCAAAAGTGACTTAAGAACTAGTTAGCGAATAATCGCTAAAGTTCGTGTGACAAGAAACAACAAGATGGAAGGATAACTAACCATTTATTATTACAATAAGATTTAACAAAACTCCGTCTTGGAGTGTGGAATAAAAGCCGACACTTGGGCTTGAACTGAGACTAAGAAATAAACTAAAACTAAGATTAACTAAGATATAGCCGAAGCTATCAAAATTCTAATCGAGTTGGCCTCTTAACTTATTTGACTGCGAAGCTTATCAAGAGCCTGAGTACGGCCGAGCGTAATAACAGCTTTGAGAGAGAGTAGCCAAAGAAAGACAGACGCGCGCAAATCAGAAACTCTGATTCTCACTAACTCAGCAAGTAGAACTTCGCGGTTTAAATACCGCTCCTCCTCATTAAGTATTCAGACGTGATTCTAAAACTACGTTCTGGCCGGAAGTCGTAAGTTGAAGTTAAGAATTTGACAGAAAAGGGACTTAAAATTTAACTGTTAATAAACTTAATATATAATCCTTACAATAATATCGTTGATGAATTAACATAGAGACAAAACTTAGTGTGTAGAAATAGTATTATAAGAAATACATAATAAGTCCAGAAAGTAATCTTTAATTGATATGAGGAAAAGAAAGAAATCAGTTGAAAAGTACATACCTTGGATTACAAAATATACGCAGCCATAGCACTAAGACATTTATCGCTCCGTGAGAAAAGTTTTGCGTAGCCTTATCAAACACTTCTGCTCCACAGTGAATTAAAAAATGAAGTTAGTATTTGCTGAAGCTCATGGTTGTTAGCAAAGTGCTTTGCATTCAAAATGCAATGAATTTTGTGATAGTAATCACTGAAGACAATATTGGGGCTATACACTGGGCACTTCCAAATCTTCTACCGAAAGTTCAGAAGGGGCAGTTGTATGGATCAAGCGACTAGACATTGTCGTGGAGGAGAATTAGGTCTCCTTTGTTTTTTTTTTCCCCCTTTTCATCAAAATTGCTCAGTCGACAGCGAAGAGTTCCAACAAATGATACCTGCACGACAGCAAGTGTACAGAAATGGTACACAAAAAGTCTTCCGTGCAATATGCAAAAACTTGTCTGTCGATATAATATGTGTCTTAGAGGCACGGGTTTCTATGTGGAACTAATAGCTCAATACATATAATTTCAAAGTAAGAGGCTTTTATGCAATTGATTTAATTCTTTTTTTTTTTTTTTTTTATATATATATAACCAGACAGACATTACGATCTGAAAGTGCCTTCTAAACCAGTTAATATGCTTACTCAAAATAACTACAGTAGTCAAAACTATTCAGCGACTAAGACTGTACAAACATTTAACAGTTCTCAGCTATATGGTGGAAGAAGATTGTCAAATGCAGATATTCAAGCCTCATTTTAACGCGTTAGCTAATATTGCATTCAGAAGTTCTAATTAAATACTCCTACTGCGTCTTTCTACCAAAAAAAATAAAGAAAATACTTACCGCAACATTCTTGCTGTAATCTAGAACTCATAATAAAAGTTCATTTAAATTCTATTTGGGCAATCACGCATTTAAGATGGTGAGAAAGCTAACTCATATAACCAAGTATTTTGCTCAATAACCTCTCTATTGGGAGGCGTATAGGTTCCTCTTAAATGCTAACAAAATTTCCATAATTCGAAAGTAAGTGAGTGGAGAACGGAAAATTATGAAGCACATACGTCAATTGGTAATTGATATTAAAAAAATTTAAGACTTTGCAACAAACAAGAAAGACTACAGTAGACTGTCTGATCAAGTTTGTCCACAACTGCGTTTATTTGTGATAACAATAAACGCAGAGAAACAATATCCTACGAAATAGCAATGAGCTCATTTAGTATAACTAATTTAATTACTTTAATATCAATATAACTAGAAACATATAAATAGATATTTCACAGAGTTTTAATTACGAAAATTCAAAATGGTTATGAAATATTCATATAATTTTTAATGCAAAATTTTGTTTGTGAACTGCTGACAACGTTTCTGGAAATTATTTGACCATTGCTGTACCATTAGTCTTAATACTCAGAGGGTACATACCAATGTAAAATTTAAAAATTACGTAAAAAAACATTTTTTAAAGGAAAAGAAATTCTGAAGAGATCTTTTTACTCTTGAAAAAAATCTGATGTGTACACCACATGACTTCCTTGTAAGGAATATTAAATTATACGCATTTTTCTTGCATTTCATTTAAATTTATTGGATTGAATTAAATCTACTTCGACGACAGCGCATAAACCACAATAGAATAAATGCATTCTTTAAAATTCATTCTAGTATTTGTTTACCATAGCGACACTCTGGCGCTAGATTCACTTAACAGTGTTAATAATTATATAACGGAAACTAAGTTAACTGTTATATAATCCAATAATTATATAACAGTTAACTTATATATTTCGTTCATATTATAACTCATAATGCACAAAATTTATATCATTTAAAGAATAGAATTATCTAATCGTTGCCACATGTTCTATTCAAATACTATAATAAAGCTAGAATGATGTATAAAAAAATTAAGCAAACAAAACAAAAAAGGAACAGTTTTTCACAGACGATTGAGTATTTCTCATTTAATTAATTCAGTTCTCACTTCGCGAGAAGGCAAAAATACATAAAAACTCAAAATATGTATATTAAAAATTACGAAGTAAACTTTAAACACTTATTTCCCCGAAAAAATTCCAAAAAGAATTAAGCATGATTTAATTGGCAATAATAAATGAATGCGTTATCTTTGTTGTTGCGAAGCTAAGTTTCTCTAGATTGGCAACAAATCCACTAGTCTCCTGTTTCAAATGTAAACATCAATGGCCGCCATTAAAAAAAGGCTTAGCGGTACTTAGACAACTTTAAAATTGTTGATAATTCCAAAAATATTGCATACAGATTTACTAAAGGCATAAAAACCTTAACCAGAAGATAAAAACAACATAATACAATAATTTTTATAGCAAAAAATGTACACTGCTCAAAAAAAAAAAAAAAAAAAAAAAAAAAAAAAAATTGGGTCAGTGCTATATCTCCGGTTCTACTGGGTCGATTGATAAAATTAGAACTGCGTTTTTCATGTCTCGAAAGCGCGACTTAAGATATATATTAGATTTATATATAGCACTATTCTAACATAGGTATTTTGACACAAAATCGGACTTTTTCTGAAATATCATATCAATATTTTTACATATTTCGATTCTACGACTCAAATTATGCCAAAATACCAAGTTTTGTAAAAATCGTACCAGTAGTTTTTAAAATATTAGGCTCTCAAAATTTTAGCTTCTCAATGTTAATTGAATTTGGTAACTATTTATTAAGATCTCTTTTTTTTATTAAACTTTTATTATTTTTCCTTTCACATTTCGAAATTTATGTTCATTCCAAATAAAATTTACCCATTTTTTGTGTTTTATTTTTTAAATTTCTATTTTTTAAATAATTTTTTATAAATTTTTCAAAAAAAATTTTGAATTATAACCTATAAAATTTTTACCATCATCTTAAAGTAGGTATATTTTTAAGCATATCTGCAAAAAAATAGACTTTTTATTCAAAATTTTCTAAGATATACACAAATTTACATATTTTCGCGTTTTGAAATTTGGCATCTTTTTTTTTTTTTTTTTTTTTTTTTTGAGCGATAATAACGCCAAATGTGGTCTATGGATTTTTGTTACACTGTATTGCCACAGCTATTAATAAATATTTATTAATACTAGTATATGAAAAGCTATTTTTTTAATAAATTTTTTAATATTTTTTAAAATTTCTCTTTATCTTTTTTTTTTTTTAAAAAATTAATTTTAAAAATTAATTTAAGTAAATTTTTGTAAGATACTTAGTTTAAATCGAATTGTCTAAAACTGAGAATTTTCGTTTGATGTTTATTTGAATTTTATGACATTTAACTGCACAATTTATTTCTAAAGAAACTGATGCTTTGCTAAAGAAACTGATGCTTTGAAAGAGCGGCTGGTACTATCATCCATATTTTTAAAGCACAGTATATTTTTATAGAAACATAAGGTTTAGAATAATCATTTTTATAAAAGTCAAATTATGATATAAACATACAACCCTCTAGAGATTGAATTAATGGAAGTTCAATGGTTATGTAGAAATGATCTGCAGCTACTTAATGGCTGGATAAGTCAGCAGGTTCTGTAGACAAGTAAGAATAATTATATAAACGACACCCAACATTCTGGATTCAATTAACAACGAGGATACGATGTTTATTAAATGAATTTAAGAAGTTTTAAAACATAAAAAATCAACTGATTTTTTTATCCTAAAATGTATTTTTGTACGTAGCGTATTTTCATTACATCCTTAAAATTCTAATTTAGAATGTAATTGTCAAGAACTGAATCCCAATCATCAGTAATATAATAAGTAATTATTGCGGTGACTAATAAATCCTTCTTATAAAGTAATTGAAAATATTTCAAAAAACTTTCTGTTTGAATGAAAATATTTTTCTATGCAAATATTTTTAATTTTATATTAATCAAGACTGCACACGATATTATTTATTTACACTTCAATTCTTACCGTCAGCTCTAGTAGAAGTTACAAATCAATTATATTTAATTAAGGATTGAATTGCATTGGATTATTTAATTATAGCAAAACACACGAGGGCTATCTGCCTAAAGGGAGGGATACCTTCGTGAAGGACTTTCTAAGGAAAACTGGCTCGTATACACGTTACACATGGTGAAAACCACGAAAATGCCCATGCGGCCAGCCCGTTCGCGGGATTCGAACCTCGGACCGAACTACTAGTGTTCAGCGTCTTTACCGCTCTGCCGCTGGTGGGCTATTTAATTAAGGAATGACCATCTAAGTTTACAAACAGCATACCGTAACAGCAATTCAATTATTGGCGCCGTATCTTTCATATTACTCCCGGTTGGCAAGCTACATGATTTTTAATGAGTATTCGGGTTTTGCTAGTAATTTAATTTGGAAATCGCGCTTAAACTAGGTTAGTTGGTTATTTGAACATAGAAAGAACATGGGAGCTATTTGATTAAGATGCTTTCATAGAGAACCTTTGTAAAGAGAACCTAGAAAACTACGAAAACCGACCATGCAGCCTGGGTTAGACTTCGTAACAAACAGTTAGTATTTAACAATCTTTCAAATGCTAGGCAACTGGTGAGGCTCCAATTTAATATTTTATTTGTAAATATTTAAAATATTGTTGTATTCTTAGACACAAAAAACAGAATTTAAGTTTTGTTAACTCGTTAGTAAACTACCAAGCCGTAGTGCAAATGAATATTCAATTTCTTTTGCAATAATTGTATTCACTTGATATTCTTGGAATATGAGCTAAAGAAGGAACGCTCTCGAAAGATTAAAGAAAGAAGTTCTCGGAAGATTGTTTAAATCCAGTGATATTAGGTTTGTCTTACAAGCTCAGGAACAAAACGATTTTGCAATTGCCCGAGTAGTTGACTTGTAAATGGCTGTGAATTAAGCAGATGACTTTTAATTATTTTAAAGTGAAAAGAGACTGGTTTTAGACTATATGGTTGTATAAATTTAAATTACGTTATAGAACATCATATTGTATCATAAATGAAGAATCCCATGATTTTCTCAGTCGAATTATTTGAAGATTCAGGAGTTTATCCAGTGATGTATGTGGATATCACCTAAAGATGTTTTTTATTCCTCCTGATGGGACAGCGGCCGAGCGGTAAAGTCGCTGAACACTGATAGTTCGGGCAATTTCCTGGTTTTCCTCATGTGTAACGTGTATGCGAGCCAGTTTCTCTTAGAAAGTCCTCGACGAAGGCATCCCTCCCCTTAGGCAGATAGCCCTAGTTTGCTTTGTCATAATTAAATAAACCAAAACCTCTTGAGGAAACCAGGCTTTCCTTTCATCTCATACCTTCAAAATGTTTAGCCTCTAACGACTGATAAAGGCTCTGACAAAATACTTCGTGAAGAACTTTCTAAGGGAAACCAGCTGGCATACACGGTACACATGAGAAAAAACGTGAAAACGCCCATGCAACCAGCCCGTTTACTGGGATAGTGAACTAACAGTGTTCAGCGACTTTACCGCTCGGCCGTTTGTGGGCCTTTATGAAATGGTGTGGTGTTGTATTTAATTACGGCAAAGCACACTAGGGCTATCTGCCAAAGGGGAGGGATGCCTTTCGTGGAGGACTTTCTAAGGGAAACTGGCTCGTATACACGTTACACATGGGGAACACCACGAAAACACCCATGCAGCCAGCCCGTTCGCGGGATTCGAACCTCGGACCGAACTACCAGTGTTCAGCGACTTTACCGCACGGCCGCTGGTGGGTCCCTTTATGAAATGAAAGGCGATAACTTTATTTAAAATGATTGTCAGAAATATCAAGATGTTTAGAAAAGTAGGATGCTTTTTAATATAATTGCAGAATGCCTAAATAAAAAGAGCAAGAATTAAGCAGAATGCCTGAAGAAAAAATAAATTTTTGCGTAAAATTTATTATTTGTATTTTTTTTTTTTTTTTTTTTTTTTTTTTTTTTTTAATTTAAAACCTTTTAATCTTATGATATTTGATTCTTGCGATTTCAAAAAATAAAATATTTGACTAAAAATAGAATAACATTTTAAGAAACCAAATGTACGATAAAATTGTGTAAAGCAACGGGCACAATGATAAAACTGTTTAAAGCAGTGTATGCAAGTCATACTAAGTTATATATCTCTCTTATTTATATATATCTTTTCTGAACGGAACATTGAAAGGCGTGTTAACTGTGCTTTACTGTATTTTCTCTTTTAATAAATGCAGATTTCAAACGCATCGTAGTCTGGGTTACAAAGTATTCTTCCGAAAGAAACGCAGTTTAAATAAATAAAATCAAATTCTGGAAAATTTATATTAATAAATATATTTAAAATGCTCAGTTCGAAGGAATAAATAGAAAATTTTAAAACAATTATCTGAAGAGACAATGCAACACAAACAATTAAAATAAAAGTATAAAAATTTAAAAATTACCTAAAATAATAACTATGACAAAAATATATATATAAAGAAAACTATTTGAAAAAAAAAATAAATAAATAAACGCTGCACCTTTATTTACGCAGTTCGAATAGGTAAATAGAAATTTTTAAAACAGTTATTCGAAAAAAACCATGCAACTTAAACAATTAAAATGAAATTCGAAAAAGAAAAAATTACTTAAAATAATAACAGTTATAATTAAAAATATAATATAAAAAATATTATTTGGAAAAAAGGAACGATGGTGACTTTTTTTCCTCTCACGGGAAAGGAAACTAGGTTGCCATATATTAAGAAGTTCGCCAAGTGAATTATTCTTGGCGCAAACTGAAAAAAAAAAGCGCCAACATAAATTTGTGAATTTCGCTCCAAATTTTACAAAATTTCATATTTGGGCGTAATTTGAGATGTAGAATCGAAATATGTAAAAAAATTGGTATGTTATTTCAGAAAAAGTCCGATTTTGTGTCAAAATAACTATGTTAGAATAGTGCTATATATAAATCTAATATATATCCTAAGTCGCGCTTTCGAGACATGAAGAACGCAATTTGAATTTTATCAATCGGCCCAGTAGAACTGTCCCATTTTTTTTTTTTTTTTTTTTTTTTTTTTTTTTTGAGCAGTATACAATTTACAAACATATAAGAGTAAAGAAACTGAGATCACTGAGCCGGGTAACAGAGTGGATATATATATAAATATTTATATACGTTTGGTGTGGCCGATTGCAACCAAAATACGAGGTGCACATCTACATGTTATAGCAGCCCTATATACAAAATTTCAACGTTCTGAGGCTACTCGTTTTTGAGTTATGCGAGATACGTACGCACGTACCTACATACGTTCGTACAGACGCCACGAAAAATTCTCTTCAGAATTAATTTTAAAGCAGTTTTATAATTTTTTTGAAGGAAAAGAGTATTTTATTTTGTCCTTACGTACAGATATCACGCAAAAACATCGTTAAATTGCATTCCATAGCGGTCAAAATGGATATTTCGTTGAAATATGCTGCCTGGAACTTTTCGCGATTACAATACTTCCTTTTTACTTCGTACAAGGAAGTAAAAAAAAGGGACTTGAATCTGACATCTCTCAAAATCGATTGTTCAAAATCTGCATCAAATTAAAGGTCCTTTTTTTTGTCTAATTTCAAATGGCTGACTGAAATCGAAACCGAGCTGTTTGGCGACTTAATCCCTTACTTGGCGACATTTATCTGTCACTTGGCAATTTTTATAATTCCATTTTAATTTTATTTGGCGACATTATTCCAGTTTAAAAAATAGTTATTTTATTCTGTTTTGGTCAAATTAACCAAATTGTTGAGCACAACAAGCGATGTATTTTTTTATGTTTTCGTACAAAAACGGGTGAGATTTCGGTAATTCGATAACAATATCCGAATATTAATATTAATCGTGACCACATTAAGCGGCGTCTGCTGTACCTCAGAAACAAATCAGAATGCTATAATGCGTTAAAAATTATAACATAATGAATATTCATTTAAGTATGCATAAGTTTTGAGAAATATTATACCCAAATCTGTCACTATTCTAATAAAAAGTAAGCATAAGTGAAAGAAATAGTAGCTTCTGAAAAACGGGTTCTTACTATAAGCTTAACCTACTTGATTTTTTAAAATTCCTTAGTTTAATTTTCTATTTTCGGAAATAGTTTTCCTGATGTCAGTTTATTTTCCATTTATTTCAGATTACGGACGTGCATAATGCGGAAGACGGCTTGAAGTTCTTTCCTGTCTGGTGTTTGGCATGTGTGTAATTTTCTTGTAGAATAAATTTATAATTGCAGCTATTCAAGAATTGTATTTATTAAATGAAAACAGTAATAATGTTTTTTGTTTTAAACTAAATATATTTACTGACTTAAGTGACGTATAGATGAGGCTAGTTAAAGAATAAATGTTTAAAACTTTAGCAAATAAGAATGAACTACAGCAGATATTTATTAACTTTCGAATATTACCTATATTCAAACTACATTTATTAGTTAAATTTAAATAAATACTTAATTTTAGTCTCTATTTTCATAAACTTCCATTCATTAAAAAGAAATTTCATCATTAAAGAAAGTAAAAAGCAACATGTTCTTAAGTATTAACAAAAATATCACGTGACCGGATCATAACACGTGACCACATCATCATGACAGGTCATGTCACTTTTTTAAAAACTGTAAGAAAATTATTTATAAATTTCTTGATGTGTTCAAATCGAAATTCTAAATTAAGAAAGAAAGGTTTCACTAACATTTGTTTCCTCTAAAGGTATAATCCGAGCCATGCTTGCCTAGACAAAATTTCAACGTACTTTGCTTGAAATTTATATTCCCAAAAAACACTTTTATTTCAAATAAATCTTACACGTTGAACACGAAAAACGCAATTACAAAACATTGCGTATCTACACAAAAAACAGATGATCGAAAAAGAATACGATCAACATCTTACATCTTTCTTTAAATCTGAACTCTTGTTGCCCCCTCTTTATATTTTACCAACATACCTGCATTTAAATATAACATAAACATCTTCAACATTTAAATATGACATAAAAAAACCGCACTATTTCAACTCGCGTTCATTATCTAGTGAAAACAGAACTCTCAATTTTTCTTCTGCGAAAGCCATTTTTCGACGCTCGGAGAGTTTTTAAAAAAGCACACAAGGTTGTCCGGTGGATTAGTTGCTTTCCTGCTTGCTATTTAAAGCAGACTTCTTATTACGTTAAGAATTTTAAGTAAAAGGTGGAAGAAAACAAGTTGAAATTAAAGTTATATATTAATTTACTCCGAACCTTTAACTCAAATTCCATTCAACGTGATGTAACTACAGCGGCTCCACCCCCCCCAAAAAAGTCTGTACACCAAAAATTTGTAGAAAAAGCGCCGTAACTGGGGGTTGAATTAGAATATAAAACCCAATATTTTTTCATATCATATCCATTCGGTTTTGAATAAAAGCACACTTTTTTTAATATTGACTTATTTTCTTTTCATAAAACGGAATTCATAGATAAAACACGCCACAAAAGTGATCGTACACCGAAACATTTTCGTAAAATTTCATAAACAAAATTATCATTTACCACTTTTTTTTTAATCTTTCCATTTTGGTGACATACCATTTATTGCCGTATATTTACCATTTATATATTTATATATACACATTTTCACGTGTCAAGATTTATTGAATCTGAAACAGTTATTTGCAATCCTTGTGACTTTTCAATAAGCTAAGTAAAAGATCGTTTGTGTTAAGTATTAAAATTAGAATAGGAGATTTATAAACACACAATGATGAAAGCTAACCTGCAAACAGCACCGATTAAAATGAACAAAGCGAACCAGATGCTCGCCTACCGCAATGGCCATGATAACATGGACCTTATAAGAAATAGACTAACCCAAACGGGTTTTCCCCCTCGTCTGAGGCGTTGCTGGCTGTCACCTTGATCACATCCGGAGGAGTAGGGACGACTCGCAGAAATTTAACATTGGTTGCCTATTTCAGCGTGTATAATTGTCAAGAAAAAGCTGGTTGTAGAGCGTCATTTCACAAATGAGAATTTCTACATATTTTTATTTTTGAAAGTCAGATTGATTTTTAAAAATTTAGCATATTTATCAAGCATAATTAACGTTCCAAATAATTATAAATCTATTGCCTGCTTTCAGGGCTGGATATTTTTTTAGCTTTTCCTATGCTGTAAGGAAATTTGTAACTACTTCTTTTAGAAAATAATATTTTAAATCTGAACTAACAGAAAATTTTAAACAAACAATTTTCTCTTGCAATTTTTATGCTTTTTTATTGGTGTAAATAAGTAAAAATACTACTAAATATTTATTAAAAACGAATTTTTTTAAGGTTTTGAGGTTTTGTTTAAAATTCTAAATTTTTCTGCTTTTTTAAAAATTATAGATAAGTATTATAGCACGATTTCTATAAAGGAATTTTATTTCAATTATATTTCATAATACATCATAGTGATAAGCACGTTTGACATCTTAATTTTTATACATTTAATTCTAATATTAAAATTGTAATTTTACTTGTATTTTATAGTGATTATTTTTTTAATTTATTTTTAGTTCTGCTTAAGATTTTTTTATTTACTGTTAATTTAATTTATTAACCCAAAGCGGCGGTAGCCTAGAAAGGCTGCTAGTTTCGAAGCGGCATTTTGCGCTGTTTTACTATAAGTGTCCTTGCAAATTATTGTTACCAAATATTATCTCCCTGTATTATATGTAAAGAAATTAAATAATGTAGAATCTGCATGAATGCATGTATGTTTCTTGCACTGTTGCAAAAACGACGGTTTCTAGAGCTATCAAATTTTGAATTATTTGTGCCCGAACATGGGCATCTCCACCCGAACATGGGCATCTGGACGGCCGAATTTCGAATTTGTTTTAATCTATTTCATATTTTGTAAAACTTTAACGAATTTTTGATTAACAAACTCAACGAGTTCAGAGCGAGCACTGTACGGAAAATAACAGTTTTATCTCCAGTGCGGAAATTCTAAAGATATGCTGCTTTCAAATGTATGTGGTTTACGGGCGAAGAACATGATATTCAATAAATATAGGTAACACAAAAAACTTTAAAAAAAGGTTCCTTTTGAGCGTAATATAAAATCTGAGTGCTTCTAGATTTTATTTTTATCTTTTTTCCCCCTTCATTACGCTCAGAAAATTTTATGCTCCGAATTTTATGAATTATTAAAATAATTAATCCACTTTAATGTTAATAATTTAATGATCATATAATCAAATAAATATGATCGTTTTGTAATGTTATTATAGTTTAGAAAATCACTGCCTGAAAATGTTCATTAAATTAAAAAATTTTTGTATCAGATCTTGTTTAATTTTACCTTAGCCCACCAGCGGCCGAGCGGTAAAGTCGCTGAACACTGGTAGTTCGGTCTGAGGTTCGAATCCCCCGAACGGGCTGGCTGCATGGGCGTTTTCGTGGTTTTCCCCATGTGTAACGTGTATACGAGCCAGTTTCCCTTAGAAAGTCCTCCACGAAGGCACCCCTCCCCTTAGGCAGATAGCCCTCGAGGCTTTGCCATAATCACACACACACTTAATTTTACCTTATTTATTTCAAAGCATCACGTACTATCAATCTTATTTAATTTTACTTTATTTTTACGCAAAATTAAATTCATAAATTTTGTGCTTAGAGTTTTTACCGTTTAACAAAGTAAAGATGTTTATACAAGGATTACGCGTGAAAAAAATGCGCGAAATGCAGTAAAAAGTGATTTAATGAGATATATTAAACCCTATTTGGAAAAAACTGTGGCTTTCATTATCTCATCAGTATACAACGTATCACATTTAATAATTAAAAAGAGTTATGTGATACAAACGCCATAGGTAGTTAAAGTAAACCTGATCGTCCCTACTCTTTCTTGCCGACATGTTGGTGACGCGCGCCCCGCCCACTGGGTTAGTCTATCTCTTATAAGGTTCATGCATGAAAAGTCGTGACGTCATACCGTGACGTTTCGTGGTTTCATTTTTATTGCACGGTTCATATGGAGGAGGCTTATTCCATTTATTCTAACCTCCTTGGTCTGCATAGTGATTTCCAGGACAGAAGGGCTTTTCGTAAAATTTCGAGTGGCTACTGATTTCATCCATCTTCTACTACTTTCCAGAGTCTATCAGTGTTGGGAGGGGTTTGCGCTTAGAAAAATTCTTTTCAAGAGACCAAAAGCAGAATGGATCATAGGTGAAAAGTAAAGGGATTTCGCAGAAATACGTTCAAAATGTATACATGCTATATCTGTGTCAGTCTTCATTTTTTCAAGGAACGTAGTGGTATTTTTTTAAGTATGACTTGTTGCTTTATCTTGATAAAGTTTCACTCTTTTAAAAAAAATAAGAATTTCGTTTGTAAATATCAGACTTAAAACTTTCTCTTGGTAATACATTGGGTTGATTTTAAAATCTTTTCTCTTCTTATTATTTGTTATCTCCCACAGTAAAAGAATCTAGCAACAATCATAAACCCCTTACTCTTCATTTTCGATAACAAAGGCTTTTTCTTGTTGGAATCATTAAGGTAAACCCATGCGTCATCAGGGGTCACAATGTATTTCCATTTAACCTTTGCTAAATACCTTTCATACAAACTTCTACAAATTGTTCTACGTTGAACATCCTGCCTCGGCAAAAGCTAGTAAACATTATGTTTTTTCAGCTTTTTTAACAGGACTAAAGAGAAGGGCTAGCTCATAGAGCGTTTCCCCCTGAAACAGGAAGTGAGGAGTGATGACGTAGCAATGATGCCATTGAGCGCGGAGATGCAATTGACAACATAGAAATTAGCGTTTTGAATTTGAAGAACCAGCGTTTAAAATGAGCTGTGTGTGAAAGATAGCTATAATTTTGGAAGAGACAATGTTACTGCAGTATGCATTTTACACTGAACATTACAAAATTTAATAGTACTTACTCAATTTTAAAATAATAGATAAAATGCGCTACTCTTAGCATAAAGTTCCTTTTTTTATTTGCAGGGATTTTTTTTCTTTAAATGCCTGTTTGTTTCTAATCATATATTTATCTGCATGTTAACTAAGGGAACTGAACTGTTCTAAGATAACTATAATAACAGCTATTTAAAATTGATCAAAAACAACCTTAAATTGGCATAGTTTTAAACATGTATGGTTATATATGGCAAAATTTCTGCTAATCTAAGTTTGAGTTTCAGCAGCCTAATTGTAAATTTTACATTGGCATATTTTTTCTTTTTTTTTCTCCCGATTCAATG